ACTCCTTTATTAAATCAGCCCCTTTAGGTGAACAGCCTCTACTCCTTTAGTAAATCAGCCCCTTTAGGTGAACAGCCTCTACTCCTTTATTAAATCAGCCCTTTTAGGTGAACAGCCTCTATGACTTTAGTAAAGCAAAGTCCAATGCCTGCCTCGCAGTGTCAGTAATGTCAGAACAGTGTTTTCCTCATCCCTCATGTAACAGGTGAATTCTCCAAATTCTGCACTTCCTGAACTCGTAAACGTGATTTTATTACACAAACTCAGCCGTGAACTCTGTCCATTACACCTTGTTTAGATTTTCACATGTATATTTCTTTTTTTTATTTCTCTGATTGTTTTGTAAAGCTGAAAGTTTACAACCGTTTGTTACAGAGAAACTTCGACACCTTGACAGCAATAAACCGAGGGGAACAAGGACTGCGCAGTTTGTTGGCACAACTTAAAGATAAAAAAAACTGTTAACTGAACATTTTCCCACAAAGTGCAGTAGCAAATGTTATGTTGTCAAAACATTTATACGAGATGCATGCATAGGAAAGGTAGTAATAGCGAGCAGATAAGAAACCGGTAAAAATCGGCTCATTTATCCTGTAAGGCACGAAGACTCATTTTTTTAGTTATATTTAGCCAAAACATTATGACCTCTGACGGGTGAAGTTTACAACATTGATTATCTCATTACAATGGCACCTGGAAGTGGATGGGACATATTATATATTAGGGAGCAACAGAGGCGTCCTGAGGTGGGGTGACACCCTGTGCGGGTACCGGGTGACACCTCGCAGTGACGTCATCGCGTACCACTGTTACCTGCCAGCGGCCATCTTGGTGATGGACGCCAGCAGAGAGAGGAGGGGATGTCCCCCGGCGGGATAAGGTATGCCGCCGGGTCCCCTCCTCTCTCTCGAGCAACTGTCGGGCTCTCGGCCCTTGACCGAGTGCCCGACCTATCAGAGGGGGGTGACACCAAAATGACTGTCAGTCATAATGGTCACACCCGGGTGCGGGCCGCACCCCCCTTGTAACGCCACTGGGCAGCAAGTGAACATTTTGTCCCTGAAGCTGATGTGTTGGAAGCAGAAAAAAATGAGCAAGTGTAAGGGTTTGAGTGACTTTGCACTATGGGAAAAAAGCAAGCCTACGGAGGCAGTGTGATGCTCGGGGCAATGTTCTGCTGGGAAACCTTGAGTCCTGCCATTCACGTGGTTGTCATATTGACTTCTACCACAGACCTAAACATTGTTGCTGACCAAACACATCCCTTTCATGGAGATTGTATTCCCTGATGGGAGTGGCCTCTTTCAGCAGGATAATGCGCTCTGCCAAAAATGGTTCAAGAATGGTTTGAGGAACACAACGAGTTTGAGGTGTTGACTTGGCCTCCAAATTCTCCAGATCTCACTCCAATCATAGTGAAGGTCTAGTGAAGACCGTGCCTCGAAGGGTCAGGGCTGCCACTGATTCTGACCACCTCCTGTAGTATGTCCTCTGTCTCTGACCTTTCCCCGTTGTATGTCTGCTGTCTCTGACCACCTCCTGTAGTATGTATGCTGTCTCTGACCACCTCCTGTAGTATGTCCGCCGTCTCTGACCACCTCCTGTAGTATGTCCGCTGTCTCTGACCATCTCCCATAGTATGTCTGCTGCCTCTGACCACAAAGTCCAAATCCCATTCGCACTGCCACGTTCTGAAAACCACAAGGTATATGGTGCCGAGGTGACCACAAGGATGGTGCCATGCAAAACGCTAATAGTAAATAAAAGTAAATCACCGGCACACACTTGAAGGGATTTTATAGTATTGATATGATTATTCATTTACTTTTATTTGCTGCCTCTGACCATCTCCTGTGTCATGCTGTTGTCTCTGTTTTGGCAGCAAAAAGGGGACCTACAAAAAGGGGATATTAGGTGGGCGGTTGATCGGTGTGTGTGTGTGTGTGTATATATATATGAATAATATATATATTATTATATATATAATAATATATATATTATTCATAAGTAGTGTGCCTAACCTTCTTAAACCTGGCCTACAACCAAGCAGCTAAATATACCACATATGACATACTTATACGTAAACTACCTTACTGGCTAAAGGATATGCTCTTTTGTTCAGCCAGTCTTATAACAGCCCTGACAGACAGCATAGCCAGAATGGTGACCACACTTTTCTCTGCAGTTAATGAATACAGCTTGGTCAGCAAGCTGCCCTAGCCTTTGATTTGACAATGAATCCATCCCTCTGGTAAGCATGTTCCCATGCACACTGTGCAAAACAACAAAGTGTCAAAGTGGCTCTCAGTAGTGTGCCAATTATAAAAGGAGGCTGACATGCAGGCAAATTCAGGTACTTGTGCTAGTCCCCTGTAAAACTACATCTCACGGGTGATGTACACCTAGCTCATTCCTATGGCTGGATCTGTACTTCTGTAGATAGTATACAGCTATTTGTAGAAGTGCAGACCCAGCCATAGGAATGAACGAGTTCCTAGTATCGGTTTGGCCCATGCTATTGTCAGTGAAAGCATGTGTGGCAACGGACAAAGTCATGGCAAAGATCACTGGAGTGGGGCAGAAGGTAAGTATCTATGTGGATTGCACTAATAAGAGGTATGGGGGGCTGTAAAGGTCAACATTACTAAAAGCATCAGGGTTTTATTGTCTGAGGTCCCATGATACTGTTTGGGTTTGCTAGCCTTTCCCCCCATCTCTCTATTTAAGAATATTTGTGACTGGGCATTTAGATATCAGGGAGCATGAAGCTGGCCTCACGGCCAATCAGGGAGGGGGGGGGGGGGGTAATGACTCGCCTCCTGGCTTCCTGATTGTCTGGGAAGCAGGCTCCATGCTTCCTCATCACTTGGTGACGAGGGAACATGGAGCTGGCTTCCTGGCCAATTAGGAACTCGAGCTGTGCGTAATGACTCGCCCCCCAGCTTCCTGATTGGCCAGATAGCTGGCTCCATGCTTTCTCGTCACCTGGTGAGGCTTCCAGTATTGGTATTTGGAATCGGTGATTACCGGGAAAAAATATTGGTACTCATGCTCGATACTGAAAAACAAGGTATCGGTGCATCCCTAGTAATCATTTTGTATTTATTTTACCACTGCCCAGAAATGGGATACATAGCTGAAAATGTGGGTGGACGTTAAGGATGCGCTACTCAACTATCACAGATCTACATAGTGGCTTAGTGGTTAGCACTCCCAACCAGGACCCTACCTGCATGGAGTTTACAGTTGGTCTCCTGGGCCAGTACTAATAGCATATGTTTGGCTGGTGGCCTTGAGTGGAGATACTCCACCATTCGGACATCAGTCAGCGGGAGACTCTCAGTCAATAGAGGGCCATTCTATCCGAAATTTAAAAAAAGTATATGGCTTGATATTCTCAAGGAAAGTACCTGGTAAACCAATGCATGTAAACATGTCTGTAAATGTTACAGATATAAATGCCATGCTACTGTTAAATACTAAATCAATACAGTAAACGCTCTATTATCTGATATTCAGCTAACCAGAACTCTCATCTAACCAGAAAAAAAATCCCCTGTGTACTCACTGTTCTGCTGGTCTGTGGCATGTATTATCCTGGAAACGATCGTGTGTCTATTTGTCCTAATTTGCTTTTGATTATTACATTTCAATATTAATATGAAGTCAATACAGAGTTTATGTTGTGATATAGTATGGGGTATGGCATTAGTTAGACCTATTTTTAATAGTAAATCTCAAGCAACCAGAAACTACATTTATCTGGAATCTACCAATCCCTGTGGATGCCGGATAACGGGGAATTTACTGTATCAACTTCTAGAGTAAAAAAATGCAAGCAAGCATGCATGAGTCTTACGTTGGTACAGATATGGGGCAGATCTTGAAGCATTACTAACCAGTACGGCTCTAATAGCAGGCAATGTACATACTATTTGGAATTACCCCAAGAACAGGGACACCACGCCCCCATGTGCAAAAAAGTTGTTACGTAAGGATATTGAGATTGAAATGTCGCATTGTATATTATCATGTATACAGTATGTATCTGTACGGATTCCATGGAGGTTCTATGTTGTTCTGTCAGATATTTTATTCATCATCATGTGTTGATCTTTAAGTTTTATTGAAATAAAATTTTTTTTAATCATATAGATAAATAATTTTGTATTACTAGTTTATCATAATGTCCCTTTGCATCATTTAGTTGACACCTTAAAAGCCCCACCTTTGTGCAACAGCTGTTATTTAGCTGAGTTCTTTAAAGGAGAACTATGGGGTAAGTGTTTTTCCCCATAGTTCTGTTAAGGGTCACGGAGGACATATTCTAACCTCCTCCCGTGAGCCAAAGTTCAGTATATCACGAGCTCCAGCTCGCGGTATACTGAGCCCGCCGCAGCCGGGACTTACTGTCGAGATCCACTGTCGAGATCCATCCAGCTGCGTCAGTGACAACTGTCTCTGCCTATCTAGAGGCAGAGCCAGCAGTACCCGCCCCCTCACCGGTCCGTTCCTCCAGTCAGCGCTGGAGGATCGGAAAGGGAGATGATGGAGATAGCTTCTTCCTTCTGAGAGCCAAGCCTCGTTCTGGGGCTACTGGGGAGATCACATGACCTTCCTCCAGGAGGCAAGCCTCACTCTGAAACTTTACCAACTGATATCTTACCGGAAAGGTTTACTCAGAGTAAACCTTTCAGGGAGAAAATGCCTCTCTCGCAGACATCAGGGAGCTGCTGTCCAAAAGAGGGAGACTCCCTGAACATCAGGGAGACTTGAGATCCCTGCACGTCGGCTCGAACTATGAGGATGAGTGATTTTCACTCACCTCATAGTTCTCCTTTAAGTAAATAGCTGGATTTATTTACAAATAAAAGACCTGTTGTAAAGACACATAGCCTTAGGCCTTTGCAGCAAAATGGTGGAAATATATTGCCCCGTATTAATTTACTTACTCCCCTAAACAACTTTGAACTACCAATAGTACGGATAAAGGTGTTTACCTCTTTGGTGTAGCAATTTATGGTGCTGATGATGGTCATTGTGGTCTACGATGATGGTGAATACAGGAAAAACAAAGCTGCAACATAAAGGACATAAAGATTTAGTAACTTTAGTCAATAAAGTATCAGTGCAGAAAAGCAATATTTATCCTTAAAGCAAACCATAACACCAAAGTAAAACTTTGCAGCATTCGAACCCTACACAATCTATAAAAAGCATACCGTTTTCAAAAATACTGCGAGGGGAATTCATCAAAACTGGAGCAGACAAAATCTGAAGCAGCTGTGCATGGCAACCAATAAGAGAGAAGCTGATTGGTTACCATGCAAAGCTGCTCCAGATTTTGTCTGCTCCAGTTTTGATGAATTCCCCCCTCTGTGTTTTATTTATCTTTTTTCTTTTTTATTCTCCTGGTTAACCCGCCCCCTGCCTCCATGCTGGCCTAAGCGAGAATGATGAGAAGCCTCCTCCTGCAGCCTCCTGGTATCTCAGCAGGCTGTATGAGGTTTCCCCACAACATAATTTATCTGATGCCGTATCATCAGGGAGCCAGCTGAAAGAACCCGGAAAAGACAACTAACTCCTGATGACAAAGCAAACAAAGATGGCAGGATGGGTCAGTATGTGAAGTAGAAGAGTAGCCAGGAAGATAATGGGAACACAGGATTCAATAGAGTTGAATGTTTTTTCTGGATGATAAAACATCAAAGGTAAGTGGTAACTGGGATGATTTTTTAGGAGGTGGATGGGGCTACCCTTTAAGGTGAATGTATAATTCTTTTTTTCAGTTTGGATAGCGTGAGGAAGTGTTGAGTCCCCTATCTGGGTATTTATTTGCTTTGTTTTGCTGGAGGAGATATACCTTCACTTCCTGATTTGGAGATGCAACAGGAAGTAAAAGGAAATCTCCCCTAAAGTGAGAGGAGTTCCCATCTTAGACATTTGTCGCTGGAACATTTATCTCTACTGAAAGATTTCTCCTCACCCTTGCTCTCATAAAAGCTTTATAATTTCGGATTTTCCCTTTCTTAGCCGTACAATTAGATCAACTACCTGACCCCAATCTGTGACTGGACAGTGAAGGAGCAGCAGTAGCACAGTGATGAGTCGTCCCTCTGTTCATTCTACTCTTTTCCCCTCTCACAGTGTTCCTTGCCAGCTCATGTGCACAGCAGCCCACCTGACCAGCCCCTAGTGCTGCCCTTCCTTCACCCAGTCTGAGTGCTGCTGTCAAGATTATAAAGGGCTGATAACGAATCTAAAACAGGCTAGTAGCATTGATCTGCATTCATTACTATTGCCATTAACACATAGCTGCATCCATTGTTTGTTTTGTGACTATCTGCTTGGAGTTCAGTTTTAAATTACCAGTTTAAATAGTTCATATAAGCATACATGTGTTTACAGACAGCAGCGAACCTACCTAAACATTCAATCATTATAAGGCCTGAGTGTAAAGTAGGTGCAAGTTGCTTCTCCAAGGTCCTGATATTAGATTCAAGCGTGGTATACACTATATACACATTCAGGCTGAACGAAAAATTGTGCAGATTGTTTAGCATGGGTTGGAAGAATCCTCCACTGTGGCTATTGTATTTTGACAGTTGGCCCCCGCCGGCTGTCAAAATACCTGAACAGTGCCTGCCTTTCACTGAATGTACTGTATGTGCAACTCTTTTTTTTTTCATTTTTCTCACTTATTTTCTATTCTGCTCAATACCACAGAGGTACCGAGCAGAACAGCCGAGCCAAATGCCGGCATTCTGCTATTCACTCACTGCCATCCGGCCCCTATGGGAATACGGGCGAACGGCAGCAAGTGAGCTGCCGGAGCTTCGGTTCAGCCGATCCAGATGTTGGATCAGCTGAGTCGAAGTCCCTCATGCATGCAGAGCATGTTCAACTGACCGAAGGCAGCCGATGTACGGCAGGAGTTCAGTCGTACTGAGCCGGAGTGAATAGCCGAACGGCGTTCGGCTCATTTCACTTCGGCTGCGTTAGTCACTCGGCAGCCTTCGGCAGCTTTGTGAATATCTCCCTTACAGTCAGATGTTTAGGGGTTAACTTGGGAGGGCAGGTACTGCCCCTACAGCCCTTCCTGTTAAAAGGTAACACAGGTGAGAGAGGAGTGGACAGACAGAAAGTTCTGTGTGTGTGGCTGCTCAGAAGCAAGTGGACTCTATCTTGGTGAGATCACCTAAACGCACTACGCAGATTTGCTGAGGAAAGCCTTTTACTTTACCGTTTTGCTGAAGAAAGCTGTTTGTTCTGTTACCGCTGGATGAAATAAAAACTGTTTATTTATGTCGGACTGTGTTGAAGACGCATGTGTGTGCCTGGGGTTCCCCACAATATGTATATATATAGATATAGACAGATAGATATCTCTGAATGGAACAACATTCTTATATTCTTAAGTGAGACTCAATATGCCAACTTTTGACACCCAGATAACAAAAATGCTACAAAGGACAGTAGGAATGGAGATAAGGATCTCAGTTATGCGCTGCAGGTGTTAAATGAAGTTGACTTGTTTGTTTTCGACCTTCAGTACTTTTCCAGAATTCTCTAATATAAACTGACAAAGCTACAAAACTAGTTATGACAGCATTTTGTGCATATCACCCAAAGGATGTAGCCTTCCCTAAGTTAAACTGCCGTGACCATGACCCTTGAAGGTGACACTTAACTTGGGAGTTAAATCTTAAAAATACATTTAAGTACCTGAACTATTAACATAAATGTATCTTATTTGTGTATCACTCGACTGGAGATCCTCAAATCTCTGAATTGGTGCTGTTGTAAAGCACACCTTTGGAATGAATTAGAGCGGAGACTGCGAGCCCGGCCTCTCCTCCAACATCAATACCTGACCTCACAAACGCTCTTCTTGAAGAATGGTCAAACATTCCCATAGACACACTCCTAAACCTTGTGGACGCCTTCCCAGAAGAGTTGAAGCTGTTATAGCTGCAAAGGGCGGGCCAACTCAATATTGAACCCTACGGACTAAGACTGAGATGCCATTAAAGTTCATGTGCGTGTAAAGGTCGGCGTCCCAATACTTTTGGTAATATAGTGTATGTACAGTCTCCTCTACTTCCCTTAACTGAAGTGAGCCGAAATCCAGAGAGTTCCTACTCATGCACACATGTTGTCCAATCATTTTACTGGATGTTTTATTAGGTGTATGGCAACCACTTGCATTATTGAAAGTGCAAATTCAAGCAACCAACACAGACATAAAGCAGAAGTAATCTGCTTTTAATTTTGTTGTTGCCCTAAGTGCAAGTATGCACATCATAACATTAGGGGACACTTAATCCAGAAATAGCCGCACTCCAAGGATCTTCACCGAAGATAAAAATCTTTCTTTATTGAGAAAACACATACTGCTTGTTGCTCCCCATGTGTGTTCAAACTCTAACGCGTTTCACCATTACAGATTTCTCCTATAAGCTCTCTATGAGTAAGCCAGAATGGTGAAATGCGTTAGAGGTTGAGCATACATCGGGAGGAGCAAACAGTATGTATTTGCTCCATAAATACAGATTGTTGAAGGTAGATTTTTAGTTAGCATGTACTTGAATAGAAAAGTTAAAGAGAGCAAGATTTCACACCCCAATTTACAATTACAAATACCGTAAAGGGAGGGGATTTCAATAAATACTACAAACTCTCTTGCTATATATAAAAATTATAAATTCATTTATTAGTGTAACATGATTTAGATAGTTACATTTTCTTTGAATATAAAACATGATTATTCAATATCCATCATTGGTATCACATTAAATTCATCACATGATTGGTTTATAGAGCATAATTGATGACTCATTCAGATAGCCCCGACATGTTTCACCCTGTTGGGCTTCTTCAGGGGGTAAAGATATACATCATGGGAGAGTCCAATCAGGCCGTCAATCGACACCAATATAGGGAGATGAAAAGGAGCCAAATGTATCAAGTGTGTTTTCCCTCAAATTAAATAGTCACGCATGGGAGTCGTGTCAGGAGAAATATCTGCAGCACTAAACACACGGGGGCAGCAAACAAGAGGGGATGTGTTTGGAAAATGCACAGCTCATATAGCCAGCCTCTGAAGCTGCCCCCGTGTGTTTAGCCCAACAGGGTGATGAAACATGTCGGGGCTATCTGAATGAGTCATCAATTATGCTCTATAAACCAATCATGTGATGAATTTAATGTGATACCAATGATGGATATTGAATAATCATGTTTTATATAAAATCATGCTACACTAACCATGTTACACTAATAAATGAATTTATCATTTTTATATATACCAAGAGAGTTTGTAGTATTTCTTGAAAGTCCCTCCGTTTACGGAAAATAATGATTGTTATCTTCAGTGAAGAGCGCGGCTATTTCTCATTGGGTTGCTATGGTTGGCGGCATGCTTGTTTACCTGCACCTGGGAATGCGATTGTAGTTTAAGCTGGTTTTGGAATGTGAGCGGTGTTTGCGGTGGATTATTTAGCTCGGGAACATGTACCATACAAGTGTGCCTTTCTTGCAATGGGGCTACCCCCGCACTGCAAGGGTTAGGTGATCATTTGTGTCTAAGTGCCAAAATAAAAAAGTTATACTCATCCGATCCTCGGTCCTGCGTCAGTAACCGCTCCCTCTCTCTCCCTTTGCTCCAGCTGTTGTATGTCCCTCTGTGCCCCCCACCTCCTATACACTGTGTATGGAACATGATGATTCAAGGATCCTCAGAGTGCTGCAGGGGAGGTGGAGCAAGCCAGAAGAGACCAGTCTAAAAGCAAGTCGGTGCTCGATCACTTCTCCGGACCTGTCAGATTTCTGAACTGCCGGTGTTCTATCATTTCTCCGGACGCGTGAGATGTCTGGACTGCCCGTGGTCTATCACTTCTCCGGACCCGTGAGATATCTGGACTGCCGGTGTTCTATCACATCTCCGGACCCGTGAGATGTCTGGACTGCCCGTGGTCTATCACTTCTCCGGACCCGTGAGATGTCTGGACTGGCGGTGTTCTATCACTTCTCCGGACCCATGAGATTTCTGGACTGACGGTGTTCT